CAAATGTGTGTTACTGCATTTGCCAAACCTTTGTTTAAGCTGCCCTTAAATGGACAAATCTTTAATATATTTGTTTTTCTTATTGTTTTCAGTGATCTGATATGTTTAACTGTCTAGTAAACACAACCTGCAGCTTTGTTTGTAAAGTAGTCCAGGAAATGTGGTTTAAAGGAAGGATTTAGCTATGGCTGAAAACAGTGCAACCAACACACCTTCTAATTTTCCTTATTTCAGATTTTGCCAGTAAAAGGTGTTCTTTTCTGTGTTATTGTGCTAGTGCAGATCCAAGGTATTTCATTGTAATCTGGATAATATGACAGAAATCTGCATATTCTTCCTGTTTCCTCCTGTTGTTTAATCAGATGGAAATGTTTTCTGGTTTAAAATGGCAATTACATATCATTGTTGTGAGTTCACATAAGAAACGTTTTGTTTGCTACCTCTATGTAAGTATTTTATAATTAGCAATTCAATCACGTTGAGGTTTGGGGGGAAAGGGGATAATGTGCAACCCAGGCTGGACAAGGAAATTCTTCATCATCTGTCCCTTCTTTAAGTAAATCTGAAAATGTGCTTTTTCTGGAAGAGGCTTTTCACTTGCAATATCCTTGAGAAAAAGTGATAATATGAAGAGCCCTCTTTTTGCCCATTAACAGTAGGTTTGGTTTTGTTAGCTGCCTTTTGTTTGTGAAGACCTTTCTGTAGTTTTTCCCAGAGTGAAATCATAGGTGAGTATTGACCAGAACAGGCTGTTGGCATGAATTTTTTTGTAGGGGGATTGCTGTTGCAACCACGACTTTCATCATGAGATGCCATGAAATTACTGTACTCTAGGTTTGTGTTTTCTGATCAGTAACATGGTTCTGTAAGCAGCGAAAGTAGTGACATCAGATTTCTCTTGACAAGTGTTTTTTTGAGTGGATTCTCTCCTGTGTAGAGGGAGGTGGCTGTGCCTGAAGCTCTCTCCAGATGGAACATGAATAGCAGATACTGGTAGAATCTCTGTTGTCTAGCAAAGCTTGACATCTATGGCATATGCAGTCACACAGACTGTGATTGTGCAAGCCTCATTTCCTGTGGAAAACAGGCTAAAAATCCTTTTTAAAGTTTTTCTTCATCCATAGAAAACAAAAGATTAAAAAGGTGTTGAGAGGCTGGATGAAGAAGAGAAGCTGGGCTTTGGCTTCCTATATTTCACAGGATGCAGAGTGTGATCAGGCAGTCCCTTCCCCATTGAAGGGAAACAGTGTGTATAAATTATAGTAAAGTGTGGCTTTGCACTGTAATTTCCTTAATTTTCCTTCACAATGGCTGTACTGAATTGGTTCCATTTATAAGTCAAAAGGTGATTTTTTTCAAACAATCTTCATGCAGACTTCACGAGACAGGGAGTTTGACTTCCAGGTCACTTCTTTCCGGCAGCAGAATCACTAATAAAAATTCTGCCATCGGTATGTAGTTGATCATTTAATTGCTGTTACATGGTGCAGAATATAGTCTACCTCATTTTCTTCTCAAGGTGGTGGTACCCAGACTTTCAGAGGATGGAGGCACTAGGAAGGGGTCGGGCTGGTGTGGGTTCGGGATGTGTCAATTTACATTCCCAGCTTTATTATAGACCATCACTTTCTCATCTGGTATGTTAACAATAGTTATGGGTTACCCAGTTTTTCAGAATGGTTTGAAATCCACTGAAGAAATGTGCTATGTAAGACCTAAGTGTTTATTTTATGTGCTACATAATTTTTTGTTCTAAGTAACAATAATTATTTTTTTCCCATGAGGTAGCGTTACAAATCCCCAAGGCATATGTGAGGAAAAATCACATTCATTGTTTGTTATGTATTTACACATTTTTGAAAATTAAGTGCCACTTATAAAGTCTAGAAAACTTTTGTCTGTAATTCTTTAGAGAAAAGTTTGGAAAGACACTGCAGAAACAGAGCTAAAACTATATAAACATGCAGTCAGCTGGTGAAAACTGCTTTCTGAGCTTCAGTTTCCATTTAATTAGAAACACAAACGTATGAAAGTCAAGGATGGTAATTTGATTTCAAAAGAAAGCTGCTTGAGACAAGCATCAGTCAGAGCTAACAGGAGCCATATGCTGGATGTTTTACTCAAGTGATGTGGTCTTCCAGAAAAAAATTAGGAAAAGCATATTTGATATTTTTTTCAAACAGATCTTTCCTAAAGAAGTTGTAGTAAACCTTCTGTTCGATGGGCTAAGCAGTATTTATGTGCGTAATTGATGTTAATATATTAAATCATAAACACAAGATCTTTTCTGTTGTTGTGCATCAAAGAAGTTTGTTCATTTAACTATAACCACAGAGTGCTTGTAATTTCCCAGAGCCACGGGATGGTTAAGATAAAACTTGGTAAATTAGAGCCTCCCTAAATTGAGGGGATTTGGCTTTCTGTCGCTAGGCCTACTGGAAGTTTTACGGAGGCGTGCTAGCCTTTTTGAACCAAGAGCCTCCAGTTATCTCCAGCAGATGGTTATGGACAACAAGCTATGGAAGTCATTCTGGCACAACTGAGGTGAAACGAGTTCCCATGTCATAATGGAGAAGCTTGAAAAGCACTCAGTTGAAAACAATAAGGCTTAACTGGTGATAGTCCCTTACAAAACAGAACAGTTCTCACATAAACCAGTATTTGTTGACCATTTCTATTGCATTTAAAGCTATTTAGATTATGATTTAATGAACAATTGTAGCCAGGAAGCTGCAGAGCAGACCTGTGTGAATTAGCAGCACTTGCTAGGCTTCACGTATAACCCTCCGTGAGTCCCTTTGCAACTTCAGGGAAAAACAGGATAAAACAATTCAGGAAGTTACTGGCCTTCACCTGGATGCCCTTAAATCTACCCAGGGAGCCCATTTCAGTGCCCAGTGAACCTGATTAAACTTCAACTAAGGGTAATATACGCCAGTCTGTTTGACATGGCACTGAACTGAACCTAGTGGTGCTCAAAAGGACACCCACCACACAGATAATCTCTCTGGGAAGGACACTAATTTCTTAAATTGCCTAGCTAAATCTGCATAATTCTTGTCATCATTCTGATGCTTTTTAGACATGAAACTAATCATTAAAGAAACTGATCCCCCTACACAAAGTGCCCAGTGACCGTTGATCAAAGTTGGTAGACTTGTGTGTCTGGCTGGTTACAAAGATTAATCTATGAACAAGTTTAAGCTGACAGCAGGCATAATTACTATTAAATAGTAATATAATAAATGTGATGTTCTCTTTCCATTCTCAAATGGTGAGGGGACAAGTGGTGCTTGCTCCCAAGTCATGTGAAAGCGTATCTCCCTGTAAGCTGCCTACGATCTTCTTGATTGCCATTGTCTGTAAAGCACACGTGGCAGGAACTTTTCAGGTATATATGAATAAAAAAATGCCCTGAAAAGGTTATATTTTCAAGTTGTCATTCTGTGGTCAGATAAGAATGAGGAGGATCTCGGGGTGCGCTGTGTGGACGTTGGATTCAGAATGCTGCTGTGCTGGGATTGTGGCATTGATCTGGCCAGGTGTGATTAAGCAGGAGCAATCAGGAGACAGCAGAGCACAAATGTCTATTTTAAATCATTGTTGTGTCTTGAGTAATGTGTGTGGCTGTTGTACAACAGACTGTGCAGCTGGTGTATTGAAAAATATTGCTCATAAGTCTCACTGAAGCGGTTACGCAATTTGCTACTCCCACCAATTCTTTTTTCTTTTTTTTTTTTTCAGAGTGCTGAGTATAATGCGAGATTAAATGCATTTTGATAATCAGTTTTAGAAACTGCTGTTCCTGTTTAGTAGATGTAGTAGGAATATGGAATTAATAGGGCAAATATGAGATCCTCTGAATGGTGGAGGAAATTTTATTTTTTGAATTAATTTCCTGTAATTTGATTCCTGATTTGGTCTCAGTGTGTTGCTCTGTGACAGCAGAAATAGAGTGATTTTCTTGAGATTTCAAAGCTGTTTAGGTAAAACTTAATCCCTGGCTATTGACTGACCTGTGACCGGAAAAGGATTCGTAGTCAAGCACCTCTTGTTTTATCTGTTACTCTTTGTTATTGCTTTACCACCGGCAAAGGAAATCTTTTAGCCTGCTGCTTCCTTCACTGAGATCACTGGGGAACTGTTACCACTTCAAGAGGAGCTGCAGAACAGAATCTAAAAGCATTTCTGTATTTATATAAGTTACGTTAAAACGCACGTGTGTATGTGTAGTCATTTTAGAATCATCAAATTGTAATTTCTCGTATAGATTTCATTTTGAAGATCTTTCAGTTATTTTTTTTTTTTAAGTATGGGTTAATGAATTTTATAGACAACATGAGAAAAGTTACAACAAAGTTAATTCCAGGCTGTCCTGGAACTTAAAACTTCTCTTCTAGAAAATACATAGTCCGTACAAAGACATTTGACATACAGATCCAGGAGAGATTTATTCAGAGTATTAATCTTAAGGCCTCTAAAGAGTATGCTGCGCTTTATCAGCTGAGTGAAATTGTTATTCATTAACTTAGTAATGGGTTTTTCTGCTGATCTTTGTTGCTATTAAGAAAAAATATTCTATCAAGTGTAAATGGTGGGTGATCCATACCGTAGCCTTTGAAAGGGGAGTGAGATCTCCCCTTTTATGTCCAGAGAAATGAATACAACTATTTTGTTTGTGTGGTTACCTAGTAGGATATTCCAGCATGAGGTTTTGCAACCATAAGTGCTAATTTGTAGGCATTTTTCTGAATCTGCCCACTGCATCCTTTGAGAAGCTCTGTCTCCACAGTGTGTGTCTCCCATTTTCCAAGGTTCACTGTGTCTGAATTTTTAAACAAGCTGTTGGATGGTTCTCCGTTGTAAGAGTTTTTATCCCCAGCTCAGTACAAAGACTGCAGAGCTGTGCGCATCTTCTCCGCTTGTATCTCTCCATCCTTGTTCCACGAGCAGATTTTGAAACAAAACGCTTCATTGCACATCTGTTGTCTTTTTTACAGGTGATGTATCACCCATCAGCATGTCTCCCATCAGTCAGTCACAGTTTATTCCACTTGGGGAAATCCTTTGCCTGGCCATCTCAGCAATGAACTCTGCCC